TGTTATGCACTTGGCCTCAGGTGACAATGCTGGTTTGGGAAATTATGGAAACTTCAGGAGGCAGGACCTAGCCAGAGGAAGTGGGCCACTAGACGGGGAATCTTGCAGGGCCTCTTGCCTCTGTCCCTCTCCTGCCTCCTGTGCTCTCCCTCTCCATTACAAGGTGAAGAACCTCCTCCACCACAAACACCATGGTATTCTCAAGTACATGGGGCCAAGCAAACATGGACTGAACCCCTTGAGATCATGAGTCAGTATAAAACAGTCTTCCCTTGGGTTGTCGATATGTGTTCAATGGACCAGTGCAGACACAGCCATAGAAAATCCATGGGCAGGGCTGGGGAGAGGGCTCCGTGGGTAAAGTTCTTGCTGCATAAGCATGACGATGAGTTTGAATCTTAAGGATCCACGTATATCTGGATGCAGTAGAGCACCCACCTGTGTCCCTAGTGCTTCTCTGGGGCGATGGAGACAGAGGTAGGAGAATCCCCAGAAGCTTTTGGCCAGTTAGCCTGGTGAATATAACAGGAAGCAATCAAGAGACCATGTTTAAAACCAGGGGCAAGGCAGGGATCAAGACCTGAGGCTGCCCCCTAGCCTCTACATATCACACGCGTATACACACACAATACATTTTTTTAAAATGAATGAACAAATGGACTGAGATATGTTTCAATAAAGCTTTAGGTATGTTTAAAAGGGGGGGGGTAGAGTACTTGCTAGTGTTCATAAAGCCCTGGGTCCAAATCCCCAGCACTCTATGAATGGAGGACAGTGGTGTGTGACAGTTGTAATTCAGTAGAAGAATCAGGAACTCAAAATCACCCTTGGCTACATAATGAGTTTGACAACAGCCTCTCAAAATAAACAAACAAGCAAAATGAACAATCAGGTCTGTGGGAGACTAAGGGGACTTACTGCAGCTATAAAAATGTTCCATGTCCTAATCAGGCCCAGTGGTTCCTGCCTGTAATCCCAGCATCTGGAAAATGCAGGCAGGAAAATTCCAAGTTTAAGGACAGCATTGGTTCGATAATGAGAAAATGAGACTGGATGGCAGGTTAGTGTATGTTGGGGGCAGTGTTCCTATTGTGTCTTGAAAGGGGTAGTAGTTATGTGAATGTATGTTTTTGCCAAAATGTGGTTGCATGTTTAAGATCTGAGTGTCACATGGTAACATGCATATCTTACAACAGAAAAGAAAGAAAGAAAGAAAGAAAGGAAGGAAGGAAGGAAGGAAGGAAGAAAGAAAGAAAGAAAGAAAGAAAGAAAGAAAGAAAGAAAGAAAGAAAGAAAGGAGGAAGGAAAGAAAATCCCAGGGGCTGGAGAGATGGCTCAGAGGTTAAAGGTGTATATTGCTCTTGCAGAGGACCTGAGTTCAGTTCCCAGGGCCCACACTGAATGGCTCACAACTGACTATAACTCCAGTTCCAGGGAATCTGATATCTGGCTTCCCCAGGCACCTGTACTCACCTGCACGCACATATGCATAATTAAAAATAAAGTAATTCTAAAAAGAAAAATAGGAAATCCCTCATATTCTGATATGTGCAGCGCTGTAAGGTACATTACTAACATTATTAAAAGCAAACCATAGACCAGTGTGTAGTGCACTGCTTTTGCTTAAGGGGGAAATGTGGTGTGTTTTATGTGTTTTCAGATAGGTAATGCACAAATCTATACTCATGTAAATGTCATTGCATAACCATTACATCCAGAACACAGGACATAGCCAGAAAGAACTTGGATTTTCTCCCTCTGTGTCTTTAAATGTATTCAGTGAAACTAGTCCATTTCCCCACCCCTTGCTCTTGAATTAAACAAAGACAATTCCAGCGTCTTCTCTGGCCACTTTCAGGTGCTAAGTGTTCTGTATTCTCCACCCGGCTGGTCATTTGGGAGGCCCTCTTCAGTGCTGAGTGGGGCAGTATGCAGCCTCATTCTGCTGAGGCTCCCCACTGCCTTCCATGCCGCTGCCTTAGATACAGTCAGTACAGTCTAACAATATGGACCTAGCATATGCAGCATATCTGGACGTCAAAAAGCCCTCATACATCCCTTGTCCCTGGAAAATGCCACGGTGGTGGATACTTCCTAATCAAAGCCATGCCCCCTCCAATGTTACAGGTGGTTCACACTTAGCCCTTGGATTCTCTAAACCGTTTTCCATGAGATCTTCTTTGTCTGACTTCGGAGAATTAGGAGATGCGCTTCTCATCTTCTTCCCCTTGGGGTTGGAGATGAAATCTCAGGACAGTTCTCAAAACCAAAGCAAACTCTGACACTGTTCTGACAATGACCACTCTTACCAACAACCGAACAGGACTGAAATTCAGTTTATGCAAATGAAAAACACAAATCAGCCAAAGAGGTAGGAGATTCCCAACTATAAACAAATGTATGACAGTAAGGCATGGTGACGCAGGCCTTTAATTCCAGAATTGGAGAGGCAGAGGCAGGCAGATCTCAGGGAATTTGAAGCCAGCCTTGTCTACATAGGAAGGTCTATGAGAGCCAGGGCTATGGAGTGAGGCCCTGTCTATAGGCAAGTAAGTAAATAAACAAATAAATAAATAAATAAACGTATGACAGCCCCCACTGATGCAGGTAAAAAAGAAAAGAGCTGTCCTAAGTAACTTTGGGTTACATCTTTGTCACTAGGAAGTATAGGTTAAAAGCAAGAAGGGTTGGCCATGAAGAGCATGCTGGAATTAGTGAACTCGTTGGCTACAGGGTTCTTGATATTACTACAAGGATGCAGTGAAACCACTGGCTACTCCATGAGTAGAAAAAAAAAGTTTTACTGGGGATCAAATTGCCAAAGCTATCTCTGGGAGTGGGGGTGGGGCAGAGAGAAGAGCAAAACAGCAGAAAAGCAAAAGAATTTTATATGACAGCTGGCAATGTAGGGAGGGGAGTCTTTGATCTGGTACAGGCTGTTTGGTTTGACCAGGAATTAGATGCCCTTTCCCAAGGTAGCTAGTTAATCTTTGTGGCAGGGGTGGATTGAAGGAGGTTCCTGGTAAACCGAAACCCCCTTTAGGCCTCTGTTTACCTAATAACAGTCCTTCTAATTATCCCACCAAAGTCCTTCTGTATAGAATATTGTCACCAGCATCAACATTTGGGGGGGGGCACCTTGGACCAAAACTGACAAGCAATTAAGAAATATTTTTGTTTTGTTTTGCTTCATTTGTTTTTGTTTTTTTTTGTTTGTTTGTTTGTTTTTGAGACAGGGTCCTGGAATTTGCTATGTAGACAAGCCCACCCTCTAACTCACAGAGATTGCCTGTCTCTGCATCCCTTGTGCTGGGTCCTGGCTTGACTAGCAATCCTGAAGCTTTATACTAGGGTTGATGATGAGAGGATCTAAATAAGTGACACTCCAATGGCAGTAAGCAAATCCAACAAATGGCTCTTGGCTTCTAATTGCCATTTTACAAAGGATTCTTAGAGGAATAGCTGATTGGATGAGGTCTTGGATAAGGAAAATGCCAAATAATTCTGGTATCATCTTGTAGAGCCAAAATATAAAGAAATACAGGGGGGAGGGGAGGAAGAGGAGGAGAAGGTAGGCTGGTATAGTGACTGTCAGGTAAATAATATAAATACTTCTCTCTGTAGAGGCAGGGCTTGAGTTTCCTCCCCCATAACAGCGAGTGAAGCTTAGTGACTCATTTCCAAAGGTTCTTTCACACGTCCATGTTAAACTGCAGTAGGAGTTTTTGAAGCCATCTTCTTTCTTCTCTCTGTTTCCTCTTCATACATTTCACAAAGTGGCAGCTGCTTGGTTTTCAACGATCTGTTAGATCATCCAGCCCTTGTTAAACTGGGAGTTTTAGCCCCGCTGTTTGGAGTCCATGGGGTGGTGGCAGACCTTGAGATGGTATCTGTGGTTCATGAAGATTCTTTAGAATGGCGGTTCCTGGGTGTGTCCACACTTCAAAGAGGAGCCCAGAAAAGATAATCTTTCACATGGACTGAAGTGTCAGTCACACAAGCTGAGCTTCACTTTCTGAAGAAGACCAAAGAAAATCATGACTGTCATTAGTGCAGCTTCTAGTTGACCCAGTCCACCCTCCCCCAACTATTCCTTAAGGAAATTCTTGGGATGGGAAGAGGGTTCAGGGAGTGAAATACTTGCTGCTCCAGCATGCAGACCTGAGTTCAAATCTCAGTACTTACATAAAGGCTGGCCACAGAAGTGTGCATATATGATCTTGAGCTCAGAGACGAAGATTCTGCACTCACTGGCCAGACAGTCTCAAAAACAAATGTGGAGTGAAAGCAGACAGCCAAGATTGACCACAGACCTACACACACATGCACATGCATATGTGAACATACACACAACCATGTACATACAACACAAACACACACACACACACACACACACACACAGAGAGAGAGAGAGAGAGAGAGAGAGAGAGAGAGAGAGAGAGAGAGAGAGAGAGAGATTTTATTCTTGTGCTGGAGTTAATAGTCTAAGGACCAAAACACTGGAATCCAAATGTTCACATTTATTTAAAAAAAAAAAAAGGGGGTGTATATATATACTATGGGATGTCATTCAGCCTCTAAAAAATCAAAAGGAAGAATAGTTTCAAGAGTCTAGCATTTTCCTTAATCATTTTCTCAATATGAATATCAACTAATCACACAGAGAGAGGAGAGACAGAGAGAGGGAGAGGGAGAGAGAGAGAGAGGGAGAGAGGGAGGGAGGAGGAGGGAGAAAAAGCATGCATAACTGGGTACATAATTGGGTCAGGGGCAGATACTATCACGACTACGTGGAGGTCAGGGCACAGCATCCTGATTGAACTTGAGTCATTAGGCTTTAGAAGCAGGTGCCTTTTCCTGCTGAGTCATCTCATTTAGTTATAAAGTCGTTTTTATAAATGCTGAGCTTCTAGTTCAGGGATGTTGAAAATTTGAATATAAACATTTTTAAAGATAAATAATTGATCATTTTTACCATTGATTCTACCTTTTGTTTTCAGTAAGTCCTTTCCCTTACTGAATCGGTGCATCCCTCAGACACCCGAGTGCTATTCCTTATTTGCATCAGTCTTGATAAATGATGCTGATGCTCTCCATCGGATTCTAAGTGGAATAATGGCGGGAAGAGACACCATCCTCGGCTTATGTGTCTTCACATTCGGTAACTCTCTGTTAACTTTATTTAGTAGCTGTATATGGAATGCCCAATTTCCTAGCACTCAAGCACATTGTGTAATGAAAAATCAGCATTTTAAATATAGAGCTTATTTATTTTCTTTACAGATTTGTTCGAAGGTTTAAGTGTAGACAGGGGGCAATAAAAATAGTTGGCTCTCAGCTGGGAAGCTGTCCTACGTAGAACTGAGTCACTCTATTGGCCTGGCTTTTGTCTCTTGTTAACTGCATACAAGATAGTCAAAAAAAGTACTTCCACTTTATGCATGGGCCATGAAAAGTGCAATCATCGGGGGCACCAGACACCAGTTCTGCTGACCAGTGTGCCTTCCACTTGTCAGTCTGTGAGATCAGAAGACTGCTGGCCAGGGTCCATGGTCATGTCAGCTGCAATGTCTGGGTGCCCAGCCCTGACGGAACCCTACCTGCTAGAGCAAAGGCCTGCTCCCTTGTGTGTCTGAGGAAGCAGCTGCCCACTCTTGACCCTGTGGCTTCCATGCTGTATTTCACCTTGCTGAAGCTAAGAGCCAATTTTCTGTCTGAAGAAGCTCAGCCACATTGCTTTAGACAAATGTTGTAGGTAACTACCTCAGTGCTTTCTAATAGCAGGCCTCACACTCCAAGCTGAAAGATTTTTTGGTCAGCCATCAACGTATTTCTGCCTGTTTATAAAAAGAATCCCAGCACTCAGGAGGCAGAGACAGGTAGATCTCTGTAAGTTCAAGGCCAGCCTGGTCTACAGAGCCTGGGATAGCCAAGACTACACAAAGAAACCCTATCTTGAAAAAACAAAATAAAATAAAAGACAAAGTTAGAACTTTACATAGCCTAGCATAAAAGACAAAAGACTTAAATACTATAAAATTTTAAATAGTTGATTTGGACTTGTAAAAAAAATATGTTTTTGATTATTGTGGAATAATACATGTATTTATTTATTATTTATTCATTACTTAGTTATCTTTAACTGTTTAAACTTGAGAAGAATGCTAGCATTTTTCAGAACCTACTTACCAGAGCTGCCTATGTCACAGGCCTAGGAGGGTACCCTGGGTATAGCTTACCAATTGTATTTTGTATTTGGTAAGTTTCCCAAGATACTTGGATATTGAGTAAGCCTATCAGCCCTCACTTTTCTGGGCTGGATCATCACAGTTTTTTATATTTGCCACCCTTTCTACCCACCTGCCTCCCTGCTGCCTGCTGCCCTCGAGCATCACGTGCTGTGCTTACCTTTCCAGCCTTGTCTCTGGCCATGCTGTTTGCTTTCCGATTCATCTCCACGCTTCTGGTCCACATTATCATTTCGTTGGTTATTTTGGGATTGCTGTGTAAGTATTGCGACTCTTTTAGAGCAAATGGAACATCTTTCCAGTAAGTACAGAATTTAAAGGTTGGGGTTTTTGTTTTGTTTTGTTTTTAAACTAACTAGAGTCTTAGAAGGAGATGCAGGCCAGCCCCATCATTATACATAAGAGGAAAGCCAGGCCCAGGGAGGACAATGGGAGTTGCTTCTGCCTCCCAAAGAGTGTTAATGCCCAATCTATCCTTGATTCTGCCTATTGTGTAGCACCTGAGACAAGGCCTACCAACTGGGTGACCCTAGAGCCTGTAACACTGGGCTGAGGACAGAGCTCAGTACTAGAGTCCTGGTACTAGAGTCCAAGCATGCACACGGCCCTATATTCAATCTCCTGCACTGCAAACAAACAGCAAAACAAAAATATATTTCACCAGTACTTATATACATTGTAAGGGAGAATTCCAGCTGGCCATGTTAGTGCACACCTTTAGTCCCACAAGAATTCAAGGCCAGCCTGGTCTACATAGCAAGTTTCAGGACAGCCAGGGCTACATAGAGAGATGTTTTCTCAATCTTTCTTTCTTTCATTTTGAAGGATTTATTCTGTTCTACACTTACTCTGTGGGCCTGTAAGAACCCATGGTTGTCACACAAAGGCTCTGGCCAGTCTGAAGAGAACTAACTAGAGTCTTAGAAGGAGATGCAGGCCAGCCCCATCATTATACATAAGAGGAAAGCCAGGCCCAGGGAGGACAATGGGAGTTGCTTCTGCCTCCCAAAGAGTGTTAATGCCCAATCTATCCTTAATTCTGCCTATTGTGTAGCACCTGAGACAAGGCCTACCAACTGGGTGACTCTAGAGCCTATAACACTGGGCTGAGGACAGAGCTCAGTACTAGAGTCTTGGCAAGCATGCACACGGCCCTATATTCAATCTCCTGCACTGCAAACAAACAGCAAAACAAAAATATATTTCACCAGTACTTATATACATTGTAAGGGAGAATTCCAGCTGGCCATGTTAGTGCACACCTTTAGTCCCACAAGAATTCAAGGCCAGCCTGGTCTACATAGCAAGTTTCAGGACAGCCAGGGCTACATAGAGAGATGTTTTCTCAATCTTTCTTTCTTTCTTTTTGAAGGATTTATTCTGTGCTACACTTACTCTGTGGGCCTGTAAGAACCCATGGTTGTTTCACAAAGGCTCTGGCCAGTCTGAAGAACAAGGCTGAGAAGGAGCAGAGACCAGGGGACCCTGTGTTGACCCCTCTTTTCCTCACAGTGGATTGTGACTATCCTAGGAGTTCTGAGGAAAGTGGTTGAGGCCCTATCTTCCAACGGATACAGGGCATTTTAATTTTTAATGAACAATATGACTACAATGTTTCACCCTTTGAATATTTAGTACCGCTCTCAGGCAGCCACACAGAGTCCTGGGTTCCTGTGTTAGTCACCTTCCCAACTGTGCAACAAAACACCTGAGCAAATCACTTAAAGAGAGAAACTGTGAGCTTAGGCTCACAGTTTCAGAGGTTTCACTCCATAGTCACTGGGTTCCCTTGTTCTGAGCTTAGAGTCGTATTCTCCTGGTGGAAGCATGAGATAGCCTAAAGCTGATTATTACCTCATGGCCACTAAGATGCAAAGAGTTAGCATCCCCTATGCCTTCCAAGAACACATCTGTAATAACCCACTTCCTTCAAGTAGACCCTACCTCCTGAAGTATCTTCTGCCTCCCAATAACACCAAGGATAGATCCAGCCAGGAGTCTAGCCTTCAACGCATGAACTTCTAAGAGGGGCATTTCAGTTTAAGTCGTGAAAAGCTGTGGAGAATGGCCATTGTGACTAGTGAAGGCTATATTATCCATCTCCCCATTTATGAACAGCACTGTTGTAACTCCAGTGTAAACCACAGTGATAGTTTAAGGTCATGTTTTTATCTAGATGCAGAGTATTTACAGTGTCAGTGTATCTTCACAGTGAAACTCTGATAGGATGATTTCCATGGGCTCTGTAAATGAGCCATCTTTATGGGTAAGAAGCCAACATTCAGGCCTCTATGTCCAGGAGCTGGTAGACCTTACATGACTACTTTAGACTTTAGACTCTGATGCTCTTCCTCTCACCATTCTGTTTGGTGCCATGCCTTCCTGGTTATGCTCAGACTCACCCTGTGTCTACCAAGGGCCAATAGCAACCCTGGAATTGACAGGTTCTCTGCAGGTTAATCTGGCTTTGCCCAGATCACCCAGAGAGAAGTGATGGACTACACAGCATCTGGGGATTTAGAACCTACTGTTGGAAAAGGATCACTGGGTCCCAAGTGGCTGGACTTTGTGTGTGTGTGTGTGTGTGTGTGTGTGTGTGTGTGTGTATGTAGAAGAAAAGTGGGTAATCTCAGGACACATACCCAGCCTACTGTCACTTTGCTTTCTAGTTGTCTGTGGTGTCTTATGGTGGTTGTATTATGACTACACCAACGACCTCAGCACAGAATTGGACACAGAAAGGGAGAATATGAAGTGCATGCTGGCATTTGCCATTGTCACTACAGTCATGACGGTAAGACAAGCCCCCCCCCAAAAAAAAAGAAAAGTTAGTTAAGTAGCCACCATCAGCTCTGAATCCAAATTACTGAATTCCAGCCAAAAACAACTTGGATATTCCAGAAGACTTAACACTCCAGAGGTCACAGGTCACACACAGAGATCACTCCACAGGTCACCTTAGGGAGAACAGTTTCAGGAGAATGTTGAGGTCAAGGTTGTGGTGGATAAAGAGATAGGGGTTAGAAATGGAAGATTGGCAGGGACAAAGACAAACCAAGAAGCTTGACCAAGGAAAAAATAGTAGAGAAGGCTGGATGATACAGGGGTGAAGGATGATGTTTTCCTTAATCTGAGAGACATAGCTATTTCTGTCCAGAGAGTGGCAACCCAGTCAAGATGGCATAGCAAGTAGCTTTGAGACACACTCCTTTTACATGGCACTCACATTCTCTTACCTATTTGTAGTCCATCTCTGGGTGTGTGTCGTGGAGGAAGGAAAATGGAGCCTTATTCTCACCTTTGAACCCTGGACCCTTTAGGAAGGGATTAGGCCTTGTTTGCTGTTATGATTGCAGGATCTACAGGGGCCAGTACATAGTAAGGACTCAGTGCGTAGGAATGTATCTATCCAGTTATAACAGCAGTAGCTGATATCTTCAAAGAGAGCTGCTTGGTGACAGTACCTTTGAACCCTGGACCCTTTAGGAAGGGATTAGGCCTTGTTTGCTGTTGTGATTGCAGGATCTACAGGGGCCAGTACATAGTAAGGACTCAGTGCATAGGAATGTATCTATCCAGTTATAACAGCAGTAGCCGATATCTTCAAAGAGAGCTGCTTGGTGACAGCTAAACCATTTGTTTCCAGCCCCACCCAGTTCCTCCCTGCTTTGCAGGGGTTCACTCTGACCTCTTTCTCAACAGGCAGTTCTCCTCGTCTTGATTTTTACACTCAGAAAGAGGATAAAATTGACAGTTGAGCTTCTCCAAGTCACAAACAAAGCCATCAGCACCTGTCCTTTCCTGCTGTTCCAACCGCTGTGGACATTTGCCATCCTCATTTTCTTCTGGGTCCTTTGGGTGACTGTGCTGCTGAGCCTGGGAACTGCCGGTAAGTTGTCACCATTCCAGCTTGTTCCTGTGATGACCAAACCTCTTGTGCAACTAGATGCGTCTGGTGGTGACAGTGATAGAGCCAGGGGCTCTGTCATGGAGGACTGTTTTTT